AAATGGCCGCAGAATCCCCTCCTACCAAGCGATCCCTATGAGAAAGCCGTGGCTCGATTCTGGGTCAAATTTGCCGACGAAAAGGTATACTCTTATGGCCCTTGTTTTGACCAATGTTTTTGTTTATGTGGTCGAGATGTGTTGATAAGAAGAGTACATCTAATAAAACTGGAGTACCTTTACTTCCATTTTTTAAGAACAGTTTAAATTACATGTTTAAATTAGAGTGTCATAGTAAGATTATAGTATAAGTTAGGGTGTTCGCGATGTTTTGGTTTAGATTTTAGGCCAAAGCTCCTATTTGCACCCTCCATTTATTTCTTTTCCACGGTCAACACCTTTCAGAATTTTTTCTCCCTATTCACACTTTCTATTTTTCAAAATCTGTGAAAAACCCAATATTTTAACGGACCGTCACGATACCGTTAAAAAATGCACTACGTGGCACTCAAAAATTGATGTGGCACATGCGACCTTTCTTTATTCGTTAGTTTCAGACGTGGATCTGTTTTTTTATAACGTGACTTTTTTTTTGCACAAGCGGACACCACATGTGCAGTGGGACTCACTGCACGATTTCCCTTGTCCCCATGTCCCCCACCAAAAAAAAAAAAAAAATTTCCGGAACCCAGAGCTGGGTTCCCTGTGAGGAACCCGATCTGGGTTCCTCGTCCCCAGATCGGGTTCGAGTTGGGTTCCTCCGGAGGAACCCATGAGGAACCCAACTTTGGGTTTCTCGTCGTGAGGAACCCGACTCTGGGTTACTCGTTGTGAGGAACCCAGATCGGGTTCCTCACAAGGAACCCAGCTCTAGGTTCCGGAACCCAGAGCTCCTGTTCTAAATTTTTTTTTATTTTTTTATTTAAATAAGCCACATCATCAAAAAAAGCATCCACATTGGATTACTAACTGCACATAGTGGCCACGTCGATTTTTGAGTGCCACGTAGTACATTTTGTAACGCTACCGTGACGTCGCGTTAAAATGTTGGGTTTTTTTACGGGATTTGAAAAGTTAAGGGTGTGAATAGGGAGGAAAAATTATGGAAGATGTTAACCGTGGAAAAGAAATAAATGGAGGGTGCAAATAGGGGCTTTGGCCTAGATTTTATTATTTTTTAAATTAATTTAGTTTAATCGGTTAATAAAATTTTTAAATCAATTCAATCCATTATTATATGATAATCAAACTAATTTAACTTAAATCAGATCAGTGTGGTTCAGTCGGATTAATCGATTTTTGACATTATTAAATATATAAAATAATGTAAAAATATATTAACATCAAATAGAAAGTATAACTATAAAATACATTAACATTCAAATCAATAAAAACATAATAAAAAGTACAAATTATAAACAAGTTCTTATACTTCTTTACATTTGTAAAAATTGAAAATCTCTAAAAATTATTTTTGATTACATCACTAGAGGCACTAAGAATAATAAAAAATAACTTAAAATTTCTAGTACAGCGTAAATAATTCTTGAATGTTAAAATTAATTTTGTTTTTCTTAATGCACTAATAATTTAATCTCACTTTCTAAATCTTGTTAAAAGTGAATAAAATTTAACATGAATATTATTAAAATTGATTAGAAACATTCATAATCAAAATTTAAAACTTCTAAACCAAATATCCAAGCATAATAGAATATCAAGATTAATTTTATTATATAGTTTTTAGATTTTTAAAATGATACCTATTTAAAACTTAATTAAGAGAGTTATAAGAATATTTTAAGAATAAATAAAAAATTTAGAGTTTTAAGAGTAAAAGCGCAAACCAGTTCTTAAAGAATAGAGTTGCAGGTGAAATAAAAATTTAGAATTAAGATTAGAGTACATGATTAAAACGGAAAAATAACTTAAGGAATATGGAGATGTTCTATTTTTATTTTTTAATTAAGTTAGTGGAGTTATTATTTTGTAAAATTAAAAAAAATTAAAATACTACAAAAAATATGTTATATTATTTAATTAAATTATCTTTAATCAAATTTTATTTTATAATTGAGTAGTTCGAACGGTTTTTACGTAAAATCACAAATCAAACCAATTATATCGGTTTTAAAATTTTAAAATTCAAACTAATTCAATTTTATATCAGTTTGGATCAGTTTTTTATTGGATTGAATCAATTTAGGTTGAATAAATCGAATTAAATCGAATATGAATACCCCTAATCTAAGCATCTAGTATCTTTCTAAAGTTACCTTTTTTTTTTTTTTTTAATGGGTCAATTTTTGTTTGTTTTTTACAGTGTTTTGTTAATTTATTTTTTACAAGTTTTTATTGATGGTTTGATGGCAAGAGCAGGGTCTGTCAATCGCGAAAGTATATCGATCTTCCGGCGAAGAACAGGAAAAGGAACGGAAGGAGAGCTTGGAAATGCTGGAGATTATTGAAGAGCATGCCCCTGGACTTGGACAGAAGAAATTCTTTGGAGGTGACAAAGTTGGAATGGTGGACCTTGCCTTGGGTCTGGTTGCACACTGGATGGGAGCCATTGAAGAAGTCACCGGGGTTCAGATAATGGAAGCCGGAAAGTTCCCTCGCCTGGAAACCTGGATGAAGAACTTCAAGGAAGATCCT